TGGTTGAAAAACTTATAACTGCTTGTCAAAGTATTTAATTATTTTTTTTAAAAATAAAAAAAGAAAAATTTAGAAAAATTTTCTTATAGAAAATCATTTTGAACAATTTGATCAAACATGTAATGATCTTTATAATAGTTTATTAAAACATAATTTATTTGGAAAAAAAAGTAATAAAAAACGTGGAGAATTACTTAAAACATTATTTGGTTTTATTGAATCGGAAAATCCAATTGTACGATTTCATGTTGCTCGTTTAAGTCTTGCTGTAAGTTTAATTTAATAAAAATAAAAATAAAAATAAATATAAAATAAATTTATTTTGTTTTGTAGTTTCAAATAAGTAGTTCAAATAATTTACGACATATAATTCGAATAACAGCAGATTTAACTACAAAGAAAACAAATGATCATATTTTTTTAAATACAAATATTCTTGGTAAAATTTTCTTTTTTTTTTTTTCTTTTGAAAAATTTTCAATATGAAATATACTTAAGATCTTCTTCTTGAAACAATATCACGTGTTGATGTTGAACAAAATCTTGAATCAATTGCTTATTTTTCTACAATATTACAAAATTTAACTGTTAATAATGAACTTATTTGTTTTATATCGGAGAAAAAACCATTTGAATTAATAAAAAGAATTTTAAAAACTCTTCTTCAAGTAAATAAATTTATTTGAAAGTTTTTTCTTTATTCAATATTTTTAATTTTGTTTATTTATAGTTAAAAGATCAACCACAACTTCTTAGTAAATTATGTGATTGTTTAGTACCAGTAGGTTTTTGTTTTTATTTTATAAAATCAAAAAAAAATTTTTTTTTTTAATGTAGTTGACAAGTGCATTGAGAAATTTAGCTGACAATGATCTTAATCGTCAAGAATACTTATCCGATGATCTTATTGATCATTTAACATTTATATTAAAATATTTTACCGATAAATCTCATGAAGATTTGATGAAAAATGTCGCACGATTATTCAGGTGAATATTTATTTCTTCTTTCTTTTATTTTTATTAATTTTAGAATAATTTTTAATTATTTAGTAAATTGACTCAACATACTGATTGTTGTATGAAACTTGTGCAATGCTCATCATGCTATCGTTCATTTCTTAAAATACTTATCAAACATGAAAGTAATCAGGTATGAAGATAAAAAAAAAAAAAAAAAACTATTTTCAATATATTATTGATGTTTATCACATCAGATTATCTTTTATTTTATCGACAGAATACATATTTATATATTCTAAAATAATTCAGGTCTTCATTTATTGTTGAATGTAATAGTTGTTTCTGCGAAACTTATTCTTACACCAGTTATATTCTACTGTTCGTATAAAATAATATTTGTTTGTTGTATTCGTATTAGTTCGCTTTATTTGAATGACAAGTAGATGTTCGTCTATATAGAAAAAGTAAAAAATTTCGTTCTGCATGACTTGAAAATAAATGTAACTCTCAGAATTTAAGATTTAGGTGTAGATGTCGAACGTTCACGTTAGATAATAGTGTCTATCAGACAAGACTCTATCAATAATAAGACTAAATTTTATCTTTTGTTTAATTATAAGAAGAAAAAACAAAACGAATAATTTTTAATATGTTCGATTACGCTTTTTTGCCTATCTTTGTTTGTGCTTGTAGAATTGCAAATAACGTTAGATCGATGTTAAATCTGAGATTGATAGCATATCAAAGATAACATACATTCTACCAAAAAAAACAAACAAATAACTTAATTATATTAATAATAACTTTATAGTGATTATTGTTCAATTAATCTTTTGTGTATAAAACTTAATCTCACTGAACATTAAATTCTATATACATTATCTCGAAAATTTTTGTTTGTTTTTATTAGTCTAAAATAAAAAAAACTAAAACAGATTGATATAATGATAATTCTTAATATAATGAAATATTTGATTTGACAGTAAAATCATTATTCCGAGGTGATTTATGATAAATCCAAAGTTCACTCTCAATCTAAATGAAAATATTCATAGATTTATCACTGAGTTTTTCTAAGACATTAATTTGTATTTAATAAAATAAAAAGTTATTGAAGAATTGATAAAAATTTTAGATTAGAATTTTAATGTTAACATCTGAAGTTTAAATATATTTTGATTAAATTAAAAATAAGATTTTTCATTTCTTAAATAATAAAAATGATTTTTTTTGTTTATTTTCAAGCCATTAGTTGTTCGTATTTGCTTTATTCTTGGTAATATGATGGCTAAAAGTGAAGATGCTCGTTTAACATTTATGAAAGATTCACATGCATTACAAACATTAACAAAACTTCTTCATTCATATATTCAACTTGATTCTCTTGTAAATTTTTTTGTTTTTCAATTTAATATATTTCTTTTAAATAATTAATTCTAAATAATTCATAGGTATTAAAACCCGATAAACTTGATAATAATGATTCTATAAGTCAAGATATTGATATTATTGATGATCCAAATACAAATCAATTTCGTTAAATTGAAAATGTTATTAATAAAGTTATACGTGTATTAAGTAATTTAGCTATTTCAGAAGAAAATGGTTTAATTATTATTCGACGTGATGATTGTATTGATCTNTGAGATGGAGACTTCTGAATATTTGCTTCTTCAGAAAATTAAAACCTACATAAGTCAGCTCAAATAGAACGCCTATTATATTAACCAAGCAAAAAATGAAAGACAAGCAAAAGACTTGAAACATCATTTTATTGATCTTCAATAATCTTCTCGTTACGTAATCATAACTTTTTTCTTGCCACGATTGAAGGGAAACTGTTGAGAAGATTAGATACTATAATGAGATAGTTATGCTATCGATTGTACGTGTTCATTCGAGTTACTAATACTGTTTTTTTGTGTAGTTTTTCTGCTTCGATGCAAGTTTTAGTATGGCTTTAGAAAAAAATATACCCACACCCACACCCTCGTTCACGCTCAAACTTTCACCAGTACACTGGCATACAATCGTATTCATACTTGCCTACATTCATGCACACTCATATCCTGTACGTTTAATATTTTTTAGTTTCTGCATTTAAGCTTTGACAATTTTACTTTCGACTGTAAACTGTCGACATTTCCAACATCGATCGCTTTATTTTGACGTTTTCGCTACGATGTTTTTACGTTTCAAATCTTTAATTTCGATCAAAGTTGCTCTTATCATGAAAGACATCTCTCTTTGTATCAGGCACTGAGTTTGCCTGATAATTAAACTTTTTCTATACTTAATATTACGATTAAATTAAATGAAGAGATTTTATATCTGTACAGTCTCTTTATGATCAGTTAAGCTAAATATTATTTTTATGCAAACTACTGCTCAATAACTTAAAATTTTTTCTTCGTTAAGTTGAAGTACTATTAGAATAAGAACATAAAAAATGTTTTAACGGGTCTCTTTCATTCCCAAACCAAAAGAGAAGTCGAAGTTTTTTATTATTATTCAAGAATTTGATAAGGAACAAATCACAAACCAGGTATTATAACAGCATCACACAAAACATTGTAAGGTATAGATTATAGCAAAAAGTGCTATAGCAAAACAATACTAAAGGAAATTATAACGACAACATTATAACAAAAATTTCATAACGCTAAACAATGAAGACAAAAAACAATGCCATGAAACACAGTCAGCTGGAGTAAATCGAATATAGGAATTGGAATTTCATTTTCTTGTTGTTTTTTATGATGCATTTTACATGGCAAACAAACTCGTTTTTGAATCCCANTCTGGATTCTATATACGATGAGTTTACAATTATTGAAATATATTAGATGAAAGAAAACATATTTAAAATAACTGTTCATCATGAATCGTCTAACTATTAGGTAAATAAGAGTGAATTGAAAATTTTTGGTATGATTGAGATTTTAGCTCTATTTCGTTTTAGTATTAGAAGCCTAGATCAAATTATAAATATCAGTATCAATATTTGTTGTGGAATTATGAAGTTTACATTATAATAACATAGTGTTTTTTCTTTTTATAAAGAAAATATGTGCTAGAGAAAACAAAAATTTTTCTATGGATCAAATAGAAGATAGAAGAAAGTAATGAATAATCTTTTTTGTAGAGTCTGTAGTATTTCTATTAAAATAAATATCTTTATTGTTGATCTCTTTTTTTAATTTCTATTCGTCTGAAACACTAATTATAAGCCATGATAGAATCAACTTATTTTTTAATTTACTTTGTCTGTCTGCTAGTTAAAGAAAAATAAAGGCATTTTAAAAAGTGACTGTTTTGCGGAAAACAAATTGATAAAAAAACAAAATTTTCTTGACCGACTTATTCTTTCGGTAAAAAAAAAATATCTTTTTCTAAAAATGCTAATTTCAGTGAGAATAATTCTCGAACAATTCATCCATTTTTACCATAAACATACTTCTTCGCATTGTAAAACTATATAAAAATTTCACTACTCGTATCTTATTGTTCTTAAGAATTTTACATTATAAGAAGAAATATAGCACGAATTTTTTTTTTGTTATATTTCAACTAAAAGTGAATCATTATAAGTATTCATTGATATCATTCATTGAGAACAAATACCAAGTAGTTTTACTACGTAGAGTTTAAATGAATTATTGCTGGGATTTTTAATTAAATAACATTGTCGATAGTGTATTTTTGCTGAAATATTTAACGTCTTTACGAATATTCAGAATATTATTGGAATTTTTGTTTTTATGTAAGATAGATATAGAATAGAATTTATTAACAAGATGATGTTTTATCTTACTTCTAGTTTTTCGTGTCTATTATACGAAAAAATTTTCAATTCCCTTATATAAATATTTAATTTTATTGATAAAAAAATGTTAACTTCGAATAAAAACTCTGATAGTAAAAGTAAAACATTTCTATTTGAAGAATTAATCGAATACAGTTAAAACAGTATTGTACAATTATCTGATACAAAGCATTTTAGATTTGTAAGGTAAATAAATAGAGATATATTTTATTTAATTATATTATATTTAATTAATGAATAATTCTTCAAATGATGATCAATATTTGAATAAATTCTTAAGAACTTATTTTTTAACAAAAATATAATATCTATATGATCAATATATAAATTAACACAGAGATAGAATAGTGTATCAATAAAAATTTAATCATTAGAATAGTACGTATATTATTATAGATAAATCATATGAAATGAAGTTTATTAGGTTGTATCTGAATAAAAAAAAATGTTATCAAATATAGTCAAGTCTAATTCTAGATGATTTAATATGAATCAAAAAAACATTCTTGAAATTTTCTTATTAAAACATAATAAAAGAAAATTCTTGAACGATTTTTATTTTCTAATTACTAACAAGTAAATGAATAAAATTAGTTTTCTAATCATTAAAACTTATTGAGAATATTTTATGGCAAGTAAAAATAATTAATCATGTCGAATTCTATTTATTATTGTATATATTGTTGATTAATAATTTTTAAAATCAATGTTGATGTTGGAGATTCAGTAAATCTTTCTCTTTGGATATTTATTATTTTTGAAAATAAGATTTCTCATGAATATTTTAAACTGCTACTACCTTAAATTCTTTAACAAAAAACTAATAAAATCTTTCCACATTGATCGATCTTCAATAATAAAATCTAAGAAGTAACAATGTTCTTCATAATTTCATCATGTAATCACAGATTTTAGTGTTAAATCTAAAATCAAAAAGTTAAATACGAAACTATAAAGATTGAGCAAAACTTTATATTAATATGAAAGCAGCATAATAGAATTAAATAATCAAATAAATTGTGAATTAAAGTATTTTAACAAAGAAAACATAATTAATGAGTTACATAGTATAATTAATTCTGTTCTTTTTCTTTTTTTTCTTGTTCATTAAGTAATGGTTCTAATTTAGGATTATCGTCACTTTCAATATTTTTATTTTTATCCTTTTGTCTAGCAATACTTTCCATAATAACAATAATAATAATGACTAAGATAATAGCTAATCCTATTATTATTATTTGTCCATATCGAAGACCAAGATGAACCATTCTTAATATACGAATAGTTTCATCATTGACATTAACTTCTTGATCGATCCATACGAGAGGTATCATACGTTTTACACTTTTACGTTTTGTTGTTTCAAGTTTATCTTCATGCTCAGATTTTTTCATTGGATCAATAATAGCATCAATATTAAGTTGAAGACGATGATGAGCACGAAGTGGCGTACCAGAATATGGTTCAAAATAAATTAATGCTTCATGTTTATCACGTGTTGGTATAAATCCTTGAATATTCATATCTTCTATTGTTTGATTACTACTTCCATAAAAATGTACTTTTGATAAGAATATTGTATTGTTTGGAAGTGATGTAGATATACATTGAGAAATATCGAGTTTATCAACTTCTGGACATGTATTTATGTCATTTAGATCTTTACATTGATTTAAATCGACTAATTTTATAACATACTCATGTACTTCAATACCTCCAAACATATATAGAACTCTATTAAATTTAACATTAAGTGGACGACAAAAATCAGGTTGAAATATATTCATTGATGGTTTATCAAAAAGCATTGGTACGAATGTAAGACCATCATAGATTGAAAAACCATAAAAATTTTGTGAAGAAAATGAAAATGGAGCATTTTCACTAGCAAAAGCAAGTACTTGACCTTTTTCCATTAAACCTAATATAAAAATAATTTTAAATATTTCGAATTTTGATTTATATAATATGAAAATCTACAGATTTTATAAAATGAGACTACCGTTCATTAACTGAGGCTTTTCTGTCGCTCCAAAAACTTTAATTCTTCTTAAAAAACAAAGATATTTTCAGATAAATATATATGCATGACCTCTAAGATGTCTACTTTGAAAATTTATCAAAACGAGTTCGACTTTTAAAAGCTTCCTTTTGAAATCATGATGAGTTTCTAGAACTCTCTCCAGCAAAAAACATCGATACTATATCCATAAGAAAATTATAAACCCTTTTGCAGTTACGACCTCTTATCATAGTCTAAGGTGTAGTTAGAAGGTCACTCGATAAGATTCTAGAGGAATTTTTAAATGATACGTAATATAACCATATTTGATGTTCATGTCAAAACGTTTTTCAAGCAAATGTAGAAACAAAAAAAAAAGAATGCTCGTGCGTTCTTCTCCACATAGATTTTTCATAAATTATTGAAATTCGAACAAACTTATTTTTGATAATGTTCGCTCCAGTAAACTACGATATTTTTATTCAATACATAAATACATTTGCTTCTAGATGAGGTAAAGAAATTTTGTATTCGACCCTCAATATCAAAGTATTCATAGATTTTCTAGAAAATATTGACGAAAATTTTTTGTAGCGTTAAGATTTTAAAGATCTCAAAAATGAAATAAAATTAAAGTTAAAAGAATCTCTTTCTGTGATCTGAACTGGTAAAGATTCTCTTTGAAATGAGAGCAGTTGGAGTGATGTCGCTTGAAGTCTATTGAAAAAATATTTGTACGTATGAAAACTCTATTTTGCTCTATACCTCATAGAAATATCCTGATCTGTAAGGTTTGAAGCCGTAGATATTTTTTTATTGGTATACTTTCATTAGACGAACATCTTCAGAAAGTTTTATGGAAATTTCATGCTCTGTATTGAATATCAGTTTTAGAGGGAAAAGGAGACCTTAAGGAAAAAAAAAAACTAATGCTTATATTATTGAAATCTCTTGTGAAATTAAATAATAAACAAACATTATTCTCCGATCTGAGAAAAGTATTTTAATATTTAATTATTCTCGAACAGTTTTTTGGTTATAACATGAAATACATTTTAAGTTAATTCTATTTTTAATTTTACTGTGAGAATATGATAAACAGAAAAGTTTTTTCTATCAGAAAATTTGACACTATTATCATGTTTCATTCATCTATTTATAATTATTATATTTAAGTTAATAAAAATTAGAAAATTAGACACCAACTTCTTATTTTATAAGAAATAGAGAACTGTGAAAAAAATGTTTGCACGAATTTGTTTAGTATTCATACCTGCTTTGATTGTATAATTGTATGATCGACTACCATTGTATCGATAAATAAAGCCTGACTTATTTTTATTAGGTCCCGTCATTTTTTCTTTAACTGTATTAAATAAATCTGAAGTAAATCCTTCTAATTGTTCAACAGCATTTCTATGATAAAATGTATTCATGCCAGCAAAATCATAAAATGCTTGTGTTGGTTTAAGTTGATATTGTGTTCGAAAAATCGCTCGAACTAAATCAATAAATACACCTGTATCATTAGCAGATGATGGATCAAATCGAGTTGGATGACGAGTAAATAATCGATGAATTGAATAACTAATTGATTTACTATCTGTTGACCATTGAACATCTTTTTTAGTTGAAGATAACAAATATGAATAAGGACGAGTTTCTTTAATATGTACTGTAGTCGAAGAAGGATTAGTAACTATTTCAGTAGGATTCGTTATATTAAAAAGATGATAACCCCGTGTTATAGTTGTCGGTGGATTTAACCATGTTTTATAACCTTCTGTATTCGGCTTAAGTGCTACTGCTTGAAATATGCGATTAATAATTAATTTTTTCCAATAGATACATAATAATATAGCTGGTACAATAATTATAAGAGCGATTATCACTTCTACAATAATTCTTTTTGTTGCAGTTTTCTTTCGTTGAGTACTCGAAACCTTTTCGTCTTTGGTCTGCATTTTTAACTGTGTAGAAAAATGTAATACTGGGTTCTTGCTCTTTTCATCTTTTTTAAATATATAATAATGATTATTTGCTTTGACATCAAACAAAAGAACGCAAAAGAAAAATAAAGATACATGAAGCAGTGATATTCATGTTTGCAATAATCATGAGTGTATCTTTTTGGTATATTTTATGCCGTTATATCTCAAGATATTATATCGCTTATCAAAAAAATATATACTGTGGCTAACGAGTAATATATTCCCAAGGGTTTCATTAAAATATGGTTTTCATTTTTCTTTTCTTACATTTTTTCGTTTTAAAAAAATTTAAAAAGAATCATTAAAAAGAACATGAAGAAAACGAAGGTTATTTTGTCAATAATTGCCTTTTATTATAGAGGATCACATGATAAGTCAATAGATAAAAAGTAAAGATTTGCAAATATATTTTTTAATAAGACAAGTCTTTGCATTCAATTGAAATATATTCGGAGACATTTTCGAATTAATCACACTTTATATTTATTAATTTTTTGTTCTATAAAAATCAAAGTGAGTATCTGCTGCCAACTATTGTGTATATTTGATCAGAGCTATTACTAAAATCAAACATGAGGGTGTCATAGGTAATTAAAGTATATGAATAGGTAATAGGGAACATGTATGAATAATAATGATATATTATTTAGTATATCACATTATTGACAATGACGAAAATTTTTTATTAATGAGAATAAGTATTTAAAATTTATTTTATATTTTAAAATGATTAGATTAATAAATATTTTAGAATATATTGCATGTTTTAATGCAAAGTTATCTATCAGTTCGAAAACTAAACTTTATTCATGATAATAATTTACAATCAAATCAAGAAAACGAAAATCTAAATAATTTTTATTTCTAATATTAAATTTTTAAATTCAGGTTCAAAACTCTTAAATTATTATTATAATCCTTTGGTCTCAACGTCAAGTTAAGAAATAGTTTGTTTAATCACTTCTTCTAAAATAAATTTTTATTGTTTGATGTTCATACTTGAATGTTTGCTAGAGAATATTATAGACTTTATTATGATATTATATTACTAACAAATCATCGAACATGATTTATGAAAAGATTAAAAGAAAAAATATGTGCAAAAAAGTTTGACATTAACTTTTCGAATTTATATATTTTGCATAGATGAAAACATGTTTACCGTCTGTTAAGCAAGGTAGGCTATTGATATCGGTGATTTGAGGATTAATCTACTTCACGCACATGCAGACTCATACTTACACACCCACAGGCCTGGCAAAGAATCATCATGAATAAACTATTCCAGCATCTATGAGAAACTATACTTACTTGTTTTTTCTGATCATATCTCATATGATAGTCGTCATATTCAACACCATCATGATACATAATAAATATCTTTTATTGCATAGAAAAAAATAAAAAAGAGCAAAAAACATCAAAACTAAAAAGCAGAGATCAATATTTCAACTTGAATTTGAGACCAAACAACTGTAGTATATGATAGAACATATAATCACAATATTGGTTTATATTGTTATGTTTATTCATTAATAAAAAAACAAACATCAAATTTTGATTGAACACGAATATATATGACAAAAAAGCTGAATAGTAAAATATGAATGTTTTAAGCGTTTACTTTTTTCCTTGTTTTTTTGAAAAAAACAGTAAAAAAAAGAGATTAAAAATTAAACTAACAACTAATGAACTAAATAAACATGATAATCATGTTTTTCATGTCTTTATTATGTTATTTCTGAATTAATGCTTCTCATCTGATATAATTTGTAAATGTATATCATTATTTTTATAAGCTCGTTTAGCAACTAAGTCTATATAAAGAATAAAACCAATCGAAAATCCAATAGCTAATCCAATAGTAAAATATTGTCCATAATAAAGAAACAAAAGTGGAATTCGTAATTTGTTGATAACTTCTTGTGAAACAGTTATTTTTTGATCAATCCAAAAGATAGGTATTAACCGTTTTACACTTTTACGTGTTGTTTGTTCAAGTTCAGATCCATATTTTGATTTTTTCATTGGATCAATTATAGCATCAATATTAAGTTGCATACGATAAATACCTTTTAATGGTACACCTGAATATGGTTCAAAATATATAAATGAATCATGTTCATCATCTGTCGGTGTAAATCCTTGAATATTCATTTGTTCGATTGTTTCATTACTACTTCCATGAAAATGTGCTTTTGATAAAAAGATTGTATTTTTCGGCATTTCATCTGATATACAGTTGGATATATCGATTTTTTCGACTTCAGTACATGTTCTTGTATCACTTTCATTTGTACAATTATTAAAATCGACTAATTTAATTTTGTATTGATAAATTTTTAATCCTCCAAGCATAGTTACTTTCTTATTGAATTCAAGAAGAATTGGATGACAAAAATCACCTTGAAGAATATTAAATACTGGCTTATCAAAAAGCATTGATGGAAATGTAAGACCATCATAAATAGGAAATTTATAATGAGATGGAGAAGATATGTTAAATGAAACAAATTCACTAGAAAATGTAAGTACTTGACCTTTTCTCTCTGGAGCTAAACAAAATGTAAACATATATAAATAAACATCAATTTGACTACTTGTATAATATTGTTTATCTAACATTATTGGAATTGTATGTATTTTTAAAAAAGCAGAACTACCGAATATATTCTTGAAAAAATTTTTATTCAATAAATTTTCGTTATATACTTGTTCATTTACTCTAATTTTTTACTTGATATTTGAAATATCTCTAAGAAACTTTTCTTAATTAATAAGTTAGCAAGTAACTTTCTAGTACGAGCAAGACGGATTACAGAAATTTTCGACCCGGGCTTAACTTGAGCTTATCAAACCCGTATAAAAAATATTATTTCTTTAATTAGTTGTTACACTTCGTAGTGCTAGGTTGTGAGTGGTTAAATGTGGATGAGGATGTGTCAGATGTGGGTGCATGACATATGATTGTGACTGTGGATGGATAAGGGAACCCGCATTCACAATCATATTCAAATCCACATACATATCCTGAACATTATGTCGTCCTGTCAAGTATAATACCATCTTGCTTGACAGTATGTCTTAATGAAAATGCATACTGCTCAGCACTATGGAATGAAGCAACGGCGAATTAAGGAAATAGAGCTTTTTATAGGAATTAATTAACTCAGTTTAAGCTCTGATCGAAAATTCGATCTTCCAACAAAGCAATCAGTACAATTAATCTTACACTGAAAGTCTAATAAAACAGTACAATACAAAGCATACAACAAATTTCGAACACGGTTGTAAGATTGAAATCTTCTTTACGTATTCTATATATCTGTGAAGTTTTCTTTTTTTAAGTAGCATTAATATAAATGTCTGAAGTCTTATCTTTTATTGTTAATTCACTCCTAAAGAACATAGAAAATTTGTATAATGAACTAATAGAACTTCTGGTCTCAAACTTACAATCACTATTTTCAAGAAATTTTACATTCGGACTTTTCTACACCAATAAGATACCGACCACAAAATAAATTTGTCAAACTCAATAAATCTTCTGGAGAAAAATACTCACTAGATTACTTTAGTCAATGATGATAATTCAAGCTAGATAGCTATGAATAATTGAGAATTAGTCGAAATATAATGTGGTAGAGATTTCGATAATATCTCAATAAAAGGTGTCTTGAAAATGATGATTGTAACTTTAATAGCAGAAGCAAGGGGGAAACAGCGGACTTCAAGACTTCAAAAGACTTCAACAGACTTCAGCCGCTGTGACTTCATATTTTCACAAGACTTCAGAAGACTTCTAAAGACTTCTGAAGACGTCATAGGACTTCAAATGACTTCGCAAGACTTCATAAGACTTCGTATGACTTCATGGGTCTTCAAAAGACTTCAAAAGACTTCGTTACACTTCACAGACTTCGTGAGACTTCACGGACTTCATGAGACTTCA